TCTCTCACTCACTCTCTCTAGTAGTAGTAGTAGGAGTACACCTTCTCTTCTCTACACTGACTTGCACTTATTTACTTATTCTTATTCAAATGAGCCATAGTCAAATTGCTTTTTGATATATGTATATATGCGTATATATATCTTTGGTTCACATGTGCATACATGTATTCTCTCATCTCATTATCGATCCTGATGTCTATTTTATAGTGTAGTACATGGGTAGTATACAAATGAGTAATACAAGTGTATTTTCTATACAACACACTGTACACAGATGTGCTAAAAATTTGGCAATAATAAGGCTTTTTCATCTTTATCTTATCTGCTAAGCAAGTAGGTTAGTAATGTAACAACAGAAGACAACGGTCAGGCAACAGGCCGTTTATTGAGAAAATCAACAGATATTTATAAAAAATAATAGAGAAGATTTGTAGCTCAGGTGGATGATTTGCAATTAATAGTGTTCTCTGAGGAGCTGGTTCGTTTAGTTGCGGAGCTTTCGTCGTCCACCTTCTGGACAACATCCCCGTTCAGCGCAATATTTAGCATAAAGTGAAATGATTTAAATTTCTCCATGAGTGATATAATTGCATCTCCTGGTAACCATCTTTACATATGTATTGACCATTTTCTATTGACTTGGATTTTAAACTTTCTGGTCACCTGATTTAATTTTTATTAGTTGGTATATTTCGTCTATATAAAAACGTGCTTGTTAACTGCATTTTCGTTTGAGTACCAGGCTTCTAGGAATTCCCTGACTGCACTTTTGATGTTTCCTCTGTCTAAGATTTTGACATTATCCCAATCAAATTGATGACTATAATTGTCTATATGCATTGATACTAAAGAATACATATCGTATCTTTTCACGGCTGATATGTGTTCTTGGATTCTGATTAGAAAGGGACGCCCACTTTGGCCGATGTAATGTTTGTTGCAGTTCATACAATTTATTTTGTAAATGGTATTAATTTTATCTCCTTTTTCTGTTGGATCTTCCGGTTTGCATAATATCGAAACTAACCAGCTCAGAGAACACCATTATTTGCAGATATTTATAGATTTTTATGTACATTATTACTAGCTTTATTGTTAGCAGAGAAGCAACGTCTTCTGATTGGTTGTTTTCTTACTGATGGTTATTCTGTTGTTATCTCTTTGTGTCTGTTTCTTAGAAAGTTAAGCCATATATCTGTGCGAATTCTATTTGCACACGTTAAGTCTGCCATGATTGGTTGGTGATTTTTCTCTAGGTTAAGCTTTGTTATTGTTTTTTTTCATGGCCCTGATTCGGGACGTGAACACTGACGTAAATTGTTGCGTACAATTTTGGCTTACAGACAGCTCTCACCACAGCTGTATAGTAGGCTGTTACACATAGAATAAGAGGAATACTCTTTCGCTTGCCTATCAAATATGTCTTTTGTTGGTATTAGGTGGTTGGAGGCAATCGGCGGCAGGAAGCCTTGTGCCTGACCTAGGGTAAGGCGTATCTGCAATCACCTTGGAGAAACATGTCATGTCCCTCCTGAGATGTCTGAGATTCGAACCCGGTGTCACCTAGTGACTGCTGCAGTCAGAGAGATTACCGTCAATGAGCTATTTTGGCTGGCGTGATTGACCTCCTGTAGGACTGACTGTACTAGTCAGTAACTAGTGTAATGTGTCTAGTCCTATCTCTGTCTTTTAGTTTATATATTGATGTATAAATGAAACAGCTGTGCAGTACTTTAGTACCGGTTTTCCATGGTTCTCTAACAGATATCAGTCCGTAATCAACTCGTAAAAACAAATCTAATCCTTACAAACCAACTATCGGTCAGTGCACACAGATTGAAGAGGAAGTGAAGAGCCATCAAGTAGAGGAGTTGCATTGGTAGAAGGAAGGCAAGATAATAGAGATGAAGATGAAGACAAAGATGAGCGAGGATTAGAGGGGTTTCGCGTGCACTTTGGATTGTGAGGGCGGTTGTTACTTCCCGGCTGCCCACACCGTGGAAGTTGGTTGCGTGACCGCAGAGCCCAGGGGACAACTGCTTGAGGCCGGTCACACACGGCCTGTTTTTGTTTGTTCTTTTTATTTGGTGTGTCTCAGTAGCGTATTTATCACTTCTGCCCTGTGACACGGCAGCAGAAAGCGCGGTCGTTGTTAATCCGGGCCCCGACCGATCCGGCATGATATTTTGTGATGTATTTGAAATCATAGGATTGGATTGGGTAACTGCTTTTAGTCTAACTGCTATCCAAGCAACCTTTCTGGCATGGTAGGACCTGCAGGAACATAAGTTCCAGCCAGTATAGCTTGTTGGGTCATTGCAGTGTTCAAGCCCGACCACCACGTCAAGGTAGCAGCTTTCGGTCGGGACAAACCAACTATAGAAAACAAATAATGTCATAAATAGAGCAATATATAGAATGTATAGAACTTGGAAGGGGAGTGTAATTATAGGGTTAGTAGGTAAATAAAATAAAAATTAAAACGTTACGCAAAAAAGTGTGAAACTTGATAGCACAGAATTTAATTTTGCAAAACAGAGTTGATTTAGAATGACAAGTGGAACGAATGAAATAATACTTGGGACAATTGAAAGTGGGAATAGTAATAGTAGTAACAATTGACGTAATAAAGGAAGAGTATACAAATTGAATAAACAAAACGAAAAATAGGTAGAGCCAACATATGAATGGGTCTTATCCTACTATAACATGCTTTACTCCTCCATGAAAGTTGGAGGGGTTGAACAAACTTCATCCGCATACAGTCATCTGGTCTTTCTGTTTCGAGAGCCAAAGCTTCACCAGTATAGATGAGTCGAGTACGTTGTGATTAGGGTAAATTAATTTTGCGGAGTTTGAAGAGATTGGGTGATCACTATCGACTAAATGTTCAATGATCGCGCTTCTTATTGCTCCAATTCTACCTCTTTTTAACCATACACGACAATGTTCTTACACCCTATTCGACAAAATTTCAGTCGAAAGACCGATACACCTAGCTCCACACGAGCAGGTGAATTGATAAACGCACATAGAGTTGGTCAACAGCGGGATCATGTCCTTCAGATTGTTGAACAGTAATAGTCGACTGGTAAAGGCTATTCCCAAAGATGCAGCAGGGAATGTTCTATTCAGGGACTGTGAGATCTTTCTTTCAATGATATCAGAAGCTAAGTTACCTTTGAATTCAAGTTTCATGTGCAGTATTTTCTTGGGTACGAATGAAAAGTCAGATTTCATAGGATTCGACTGTATATATTAAAATTGACTAATAATTGTTAACAAACTCACCTCCACTAGATTGGCGAATTCCTGTATTGTATTGAAAATTGCTGTATAAATATATATCAGGGTACACCCAAATATGAAGCATACTCAATCCTTCTGTTTTCTGATTGCCTAAGTTGGGATTTTTGTCATAATAAAGTTATTTAATTACAAGTATTGGTTTTGTAGGGATTTTGTTTGATTGCATGGAGGATTTCATCATGAGCTGACGTCAGTTAGAGAACCACTGGAAAACCTGGGAGTACTAGACAGCTGTTTCGTCCTAGTTTGGGACTCTTCACAGTACGCAAAATGCGAAATGGTCGCGCTATGTCGTGAATTGGCAGAAGTTAGAATTCATGGGCTGGCCATTGGATCGGGTCCCAGTGGCTCAATGGTCTACGAGCTCGCCTTGAAACCAGAAGGTCCTGGGTTCGAATCCCGGTGGGTGCGTACTGCTGAAGAGTCCCAATGTCCAGTACTCCCAGGTTTTCCAGTGGTTATTCAGGAAAGTACGTATCCTTTTTCTTTAATTCACTTCTGATTTTCCAGTTGATTGATTGGGTCGAAATGTTTGGCGTGTGTTGAGACGCAGCCTCCTAGTTCAGAGGCTTCGGCGATGTCTGAAGTAATTTGGTGGGTGGTGACAAGAAGTATAATCCAGGATGTATGTTTTGTCCTGTTTGGTGGAACTCATCACCTGGATTTACCTGAAATCCCTAATGAATGAATGATGGTGTTCTCATTTAGACTTGAAGCCAGTACTTGATGTTCCTAACACCAAAGCGTTATCCACTAGACCACTTGGGCCACGATATAATCACATCTGATGATATTAGATAGTTGGAGGCAATCGGCAGGAAGCCTTGGACCTAGGTTTTATGCTTGTTAGCACTTCTCAGTAGTCTTGAAGAAGGAACTCATGAGCCTCGTGAGATTCGAACCCGCGTCACCCACTGCTGCAGTCAGAGACGTTACCACCGAGCTATTCAGGCTCTCGATTGACCTCCTGTAGGACTGTAGTGAATACTTTGATTGGACACTAGTAAGTAGTGTGAATCTCAGAAGGGACATGAGTTCCTTCAAGGTTGCAGATACGCCTTGCTGACTTGTGAGTGACAACTAGCACGAAACCTAGGTCAGGCACAAGGCTTCCTGCCGATTATATACCTCCAACCATCTAATATCATCAAATCAATGAGTACCGTGATGGAAAGCTACCTAGAATGGCGGTCACATTGCAAACCTGACTGAGTGATAGAATTCAGTCTGCACCAAAGAAAGGACTAGACGCATCACACTAGTTACTAGTGTCCAATGGATATAATCACATCTTGCAGATTAATCTCCTCATTATTATTATTCCCTTGGGTTCCTAGTGGAACATAGGGCTTCAACTGCACGTCTCCACTTGCTTCTGTCTTCTGCTGTACTTTTCACCTCCATCCATGTTAGTCCATACTGATACAACTCTTCTTCACACGATCTCCTCCATGTCACCCTTTGACGTCCCACTCGCCGCTTCCTTTCGGGTTCCACTCGAGCGTTGGTCTGACGCGCGATGTCACCCAACGGCCTCCTCAGCGAGTGTCCAATCCATCTTCACTTTCTCCTGCACATTTGTTGGGCGATTGGTCCTATGGTAAACACTTAGAAATCCTTTTATTGCTGTGTCAGCTGTAATTTAGCGAAAGAGAGATTTCACATTTCAACATTTTTTTCTCATTTCTTAGATTTATGGAAGATTACCAATCTGTATTGATCCACAATTGGAACAGCTGATGAATCAACGTTCTGAACAATCAACATCAGATGCATATATATGTGTCATCCAACATGGTGATATTCTCATTGTCCTACTGAAATGGATCACCTATCTTTGGATAGATTATGAAAATAATCCAAAAAATTATTTTAAATCAATGAATATTGATTTATTTAGTATAATTCAACAAATATTAAAAATTATTATTGATTCATTATTAAACAGTCAAAATTCTATTGTACAATTGAGTAGAGCACATTGTTGTGAGACTGGTGTCATCCGTTGGGGATTAATTCCGAATATTATGAAATTATGTGATAATTTAAAGTTGAAATTAAATTTTATGATGATGAATAGTATAGAATTGACTGAAGATGAATTGACAGTAAGTTGAGAAAATTTAAGCTACTTATAAGTAGTTAATCTTTTTGCAAAACATTTATGCAAAACATTCTATTCGATAGTTTTGAAATGAAGCTTCATTCCGGTGTTGTTGTGAGCAGTGAGTGGTGCCTATTTCTGATGTCATCTATAAAGACATCAGGATTAGATCATCAACAACATGGGGTTGGAAACTTGATGTAGACGAATGCCTATACCATTTGGCCGCAGCCTCAATGCGTAAATCGGAGGCGCGGCCCGGAACCACGTCCACATAGTAGGCGAGAACTCTCAGATCACTTTTGAGTCCTGCTTTTTAGACTACCTAGGACATTCCGACCCGACTATGGTGTCTCGACATGCGGAAATAAGTCCTTCACGTTTTACAAAAGATTGTTATTCTGAATAGAGTGTCTCATGTGATTCACGCACACCCGTGAGTATCTTACTGGTAGCTGGTGTTCTAATGGAAGTTTTCATCCTTTGAATATGTCTGTTTATTTTTATGGCAGCTTATCAGGCATTCGTTATGTAATTTGGTCTGTATTTGGAATGATTGCCATGATACAATATAATCTTGGCCTATACGAGTTTCAAGTTATGCCATATCGATGATATTCTGGAGCCAGCTCTGAAGCACGTACGTGGTAGTGGTAGCGGTGGTGGTGTAGATCTGTTATCTGTAGAGGGACTTTTCAACTTCGAGTATCCAGACGATATTTTCTTACTGTGAGGTAGCATGCAAGCTGCCTAAATTGCAATTAGTCAGTTAGAGATCAGTATCTGTGAGTATGGCATACGCTTTGGGCCATCCAGCTGCAATTAAATGTTACAAGATTGGCAGAAGTCTGTACCTGCACTCACTCTTATAGGTGAACCGCTTGAATTTTTCAGTAGAATCGTGTATCTGGGTAGTTGCGTGAGTGCCGGAGTATTTGGAACAGTCGAGATTTCCAACTGCATCATGAAAACTAGGGTGACATGCACTAATTTGAGCCACCTCTGGCGCCGTCGCGATATTAGCCTGGCTGTCAAAGGTAGGGTTTACAATACTTTATTATTTGCAGTCTTACTATACGCTTGTGAAACCTGACCTCTCCAAGATCAAGGTGTGCGGTGACTCTGCGTATCCGACCATCTCTATCTCCGTAGAATTGCTTGTGTTCGATGTCATCATCATATGAGTAATTCTGAGGTCCAGCAGCGTGTGTTTGAATACCGCGGAGATCACTATCCATTGAGTGTCGTAATAAGGAAGCACCGAGGCCTCGGTGGCTTGTGCGTGTAATACGAATGTCATCCTAGAGGCTTATGTGGTAATATCTGTCCGCAATTCCTGGGACGGGATAGAATAAGTGAAGAGGTGGTCAGCTCCTGACGTGGCGTGGTGGTGTGAAGAATATTTTTAGTAAGTCAATATCGGTTGGTACATCATAATTCCCTGGTTAGGGTCTGAGAGGTAATTAGAATCGGCAACTCGAGACGTTATTTGATATAGCCAAGAATCACAGTCATCGATGGCGAACGTGCTGCAATTTCTTCTTCCTTCTCTTCCTGACAGTAATTCGACGAAAGTTGTTTGAACTTGTTAAATATAGCTGCTTCTTTTCTGGACGAAGTCTTCATTCATTCTCTACCTATTTTTTCTCGTATGCTGCTGTTTTATTATCATTGTGTGACGCATCTTCTTGGTGCCTATTCTACACCAGATTTTGTGTTTTAAATCAGAAAATAAAATAAAATAAAATTTGCCGTATCCTAACTAGGATTAGGCATAAGGTACTTTTGGGTGAAGGTATATGATATCAGGGCACTCACTCATATAACCTTAAAACTTCACTTATATAGTTCTGTTATTTCTTTTTTTATTTGATTTTCATGTGTTGGTTTGCGGTGATTTGATTGGTTACAGGATCTCATCATGAGCTGACATTGGTTAGAGAACCATCGGAAAACGTGGAACCTGGTATGAAACAGCTCTCCAGTACTCCCAGGTTTCCCAATGGTCCTCTAACCGATGTCAGCTCATGATAGGATCATTTGATTTTATTGGTAGTAATACTTGCCATATCTTGTCGTTGTATCATTCCTATTACGTGTCATGTACAGATTCGATAAACAAAGATTTAGTGATCAGCCTCTCTCTCCGCCTACCTATATTACTTTTTACAACTGTAGGTCTGTCCCATCTTATTGTATGATTGTATGTTAGTGTATACAGTGTGATTGTTGAGTCTACCTCTCAGCTGTTCATCTTCTTGGGGTCAGTCGTTCTGCACTTAACCAAGTTCTTATATATCGATTACTTGACTACTCTCGGTATTCTTGTCCGACCTATTTAGTTGTTCTCAAAGCCACTTCAAAGGATTTCGTAGATTAAGTTATATTGTCTAATCAGTTCAATAGGTTCCTTTAGCCTAAAGAGTTTTAAGGTTCAATTGCCACCCTAGTTCTTGGTCTATTATGGATTCTACGTAAAGTTTCGAGTGTCCTTTCCCTAAATGATAAAAATATCGACAACATATGAGTCATGTGAGTGCCTTGATAAGATTATAAACAGCAATAAATTGTGTTCGAAACGTCAGCACTCTATCGCTGTATGTTCTTACTTTGAGTGGACACTAGTAACTAGTGTGGTGTGTCTAGTCCTTTCTTTGGTGCAGACTGAATTCTATCAGACAGTCAGGTTTGCAATGTGGCCACCATTCCAATAGGTAGCTCACCATCATGGTGTACATTGATTTGATGTTATTGGATGGTTGGAGGTAATCGGCAGTAAGCCTTCGACCTAGGTTTCGTGCTAGTTGGCACGCACCAGTCAGCAAGGCGTATCTACAACCAGATACGTAGATTGGTGGCTACATTGCAAGCCTGACTGATATAATTCAGTCTGCACCAAAGAAAGGACTAGACACATCACACTGGTTACTAGTATCTAGTCAACGTATCCGCTACAGTCCTACAGGAAAGAGGTCAATCGCGAGCTTGAATAGCTCACTGGTAACGTCTCTGATTGCAGCAGTCACTGGGTGACGTGGGTTCGAATCTCAGAAGGAGTGACATGAGTTCCTTCAAGGTTGCAGATACGCCTTACTGACTGGTGAGTACCAACTAGCACGAAGCCTAGGTCAAGCAAGCCTTCTTGTCGATTGACTGTAACCATCTAATACTGTATGTTTTTATTTGGAAAATTCCTTTTATGATGGAATCATAATCTACCACATTGCCTAAGTTTTACTCTTATATTAACCGTTATGAGTGGTTTGAAACTGATACAACTGGCTGACAGCAGTCAACAAAAAATAAGGGAATGATGCTCGGGGAGGCTCCGTGTGCTCTTGGAAGTGTGTGGGTGGTTTTTAATTCCCGGCTGCTCACACTGTGGAAGTTGGTTGATTCTTCGGGTACCTGAAACAAAAGGAGGGTTAGTGTTGTGTGACCACAGAGCTCAGGGGCCCACTGCTTGAGGCTGGTCACACACGACCTGTATGAACTGGTTTCTTGGTATAGTTCCGTCTTAGTAAATTTGCCGCCGGTTATGGACCACTGTAGAGTAAGTCGGGATGTGCAGTTTTAGGGGTTGACATTTTCTAATCCCCTCTCTCCAGAGTGGAGAGACAGCATAGGTGGCTGGCATGCTGGTCATCTGAGGGGAACACCTGCCTGCTGTTACACCCCTGTTCCCCAGCAGTACGAATTCGCCCATAGACCTCAAGCATAGTGTAAAAGAAAGTTCTTACACTAAGCCGGTAACTGCTTTTAGTCTAATCGCTATCCTAACAACCTTCCCGGCATGTTCTGACCTGAAGGAACAATAGTTCCAGCCACTGTAGCTTGTTAGGTCATTGCTATATGCAAGCCCGACCACCACGTGAAGGTAGCAGCTATCAGTTGGGCAGTTAAAGCGGCCATGAGGCTGATGTCTCCTACCCCAAACGATTGAAGCGGCCGTCTAGTTTTTGGATTAATTTGATCTGGTTGGAAAGTATCAATAGTCGACATGAGTAGTTTTAAACTCTTCATGCTGTTTCCCTCACTTTTTTGATTTTTATTCATGATACCGATCATCTTTTGTGATCTGAATATGTTTGGTTTTCATCGGAAACTGTGATGGGGTTTTCTTTTGTGGAATTGTTTCATTCACAAATGATGAGGCGGATTTTTGGATGACCTTTGAAGGAGTTATTAGACTTTCATTCTCTGTGAGAATTCAAAAAGAATTAATTATCGAGAATATTCCATTTTTATTCACGTGGTATGAATATCAGTATATCAGTATAAAAAATACTGATCTCAAGCCTTAAGTGGTCACTTAATGTTGAAAAGAGTACAAGATAAGTATTGGAGTGAATTACTACCTCCAAAGGCTTACACACTTACTTCCTAAGTGGTTATAACATCACAACACGTATTCTATGATATATTGGCACATACAGTAAAACGTGGAGATGCACATAACAAGATACTTCGGATTAATACGGATTCATGATATCTCGTTGGTGACCATCTGCGTCTTCTAGACTCACTGAAGTTCATACCATTACTACATATGAATATAAATTGACTATTGTGGGTGACTAATATTTTTTTCTTTTTCCTTCACGTTCCCCAGTGGAACATAGGGCTTCAAGCCAGTGGCTTGAAGTTTCTGTAGCAGTGTTTATTTTATAGAATGGGGTTGCTAGCCAGCCTCATGCCCAACCTTTCCTCTTCACCAGCATTATTTCTGGCTTAGCGAGGTAAAGGAGTGCGTCTGTGACCGGAGATCGAACTCCGGACCATGTGCATGGCCGGCGAGCGCCCTAACCGCTATGCCGCCGACGCATGTGGGTGACTAATACTGATGGTGAAAACACCCTTAACATATTTTGAATACTTAAAACGCATTCCAGTATATGAAAGTACCGTCAATGCATTTTCGTTTCATCATAAGTAACTCTTTGATGTTTCAAACGATGAATATTGGGTATGAGTCTCAGTAGCAACACTATCACTGACTGCAGA